TTGAAGAAAAGAAAATGTGGCAGAGTTTGTGTTCAATTTATTTTGAAATCCCACCACAAATAAAGTCAGGAGAAAATCAAAACCATTTTGGAAAATTTCGTTTTTTACGTCTCTTTCCGGAAGTAGTTTCAATTTCAAAACTTTCTAAGCGAAATTTTGCTGATTATCTGAATACGCAGCTATTTAAATGACCTCATATCCCTTGCAGTTTTTGAGATCCCAATGGTGAGGGTCAATTTAAAATACCCCGTATAGGGAAAATATTATTTTCACCCCAGCATTCCCTCTCCGTGGCCACCCGTGAGAAAAAGCTGTATCACAAAATCTACAGAATTCGTTATTTTGTTTATTTTTTCATCAGCATTGGGTTGGACTTACATAGCTAGAATATATATATATATATATATATATATATAACTTGAGACGTGGTCATTGTCGTCTAAACCAGTTAGGTGAAAAATTAAAGCTTCCGCCTTTTGTTGGGTACTTCGACAAAATTTAAGCAAAGAGGACTCTTTATACTTTTTTTAATTCTCTCTAGCTTTCAATGGACTTTGCCATCATCATCAGGAGCTGCAATTACAATGATAACAGTAGCAACAAAAGTGTAAAATGAATTTAAATTGAATCAACTTACAGTAGTATGTGAGGATGTTGCTAATTGTTGTTTTCGTATAGGATGAGGGAAACGTCCAGTAACATGGTGAGAGCTGGATACATGGTACAATGTTAAAATTATATAAAATATGACAAGACAAGTTAAAGACAGATTAAAAATTATTTAGAAAACATTAGAGCATTACGTCGTGAAGCCACTTGTTGATTGCACAAAATGGTGGTCATGGAATAATGAGTGAGATGAACCTTTGACAGAAGGCCGAAGGTTGTCAATGTCTGTGTTGAAAGATGGAACGAATTGTGGGCGTGTGTCAAAACGTTACCAAATCACTTCAGATGATGTGATGTTCAGAATGTTATGTAAGAAATTGTTAAACCGACATAACATAACAAACATTGTACCATGTATCCAGCTCTCACCATGTTACTGGACGTTTCCCTCATCCTATACGAAAACAACAATTAGCAACATCCTCACATACTACTGTAAGTTGATTCAATTTAAATTCATTTTACACTTTTGTTGCTACTGTTATCATTGCAATTGCAGCTCCTGATGATGATGGCAAAGTCCATTGAAAGCTAGAGATAATTAAAAAAAGTATAAAGAGTCCTCTTTGCTTAAATTTTGTCGAAGTACCCAACAAAAGGCGGAAGCTTTAATTTTTCACCTATATATATATATATGTGTTAATTGGGAAATTGGCAAAACTTTTAGGCTTAAGTTGACGCTTTTGACGATAAAATCAAGCTTTCGGCATTCTCTATAGAGCCTTCATCAGGATTCTGAAAACACAATTGTGATGCTAGCAAAGAAAACAGGACAGATTTAAAATGTCAGACAACTTACTCGTCGGTGAGGTTGCAGCAACAAGGTGTTTCAGAACGAACGTAGAGAAGATCGAACTTGTAATCAGTATAAAAACAAAAGGACGGGAACATTGGGTTTGTTGAAAAACGACAGATACCTTCGTTGAAAGTTAAAAATATCAATCCACCCGAACAAGTTAAAAATATTACACGTGAGGAGACATTTTGTTGAAACAATCGGAATACAATCTCTAACGTTCTACTACCGCTACACGTGGAGAGGGGGAAGGCACGGAAAGATAAAGCGTCGACAGATGACAAGTGATTGACTCAACGGACCGTGGAACTGTAAACTCCCTGTCCAACTTTGGGTATGAAGTATACGAGGGACGCTCGGTAAACCTCCACCCAAAATTACTAAAATGCTGAAATAACTTGTTTTGGAAAAAAGTGTGTAGTTCATATGAGTGTAAGAATGTGTGATATTGATACAACCTTGAAAAGATGGGCTATGTGAGTTTATATTAAAAATGTGAGAGTCCAGAGTCCTTTTTTTATACTGATTACAAGTTCGATCTTCTCTACGTTCGTTCTGAAACACCTTGTGGCGTCAACCTCACCGACGAGTAAGTTGTCTGACATTTTAAATCTGTCCTGTTTTCTTTGCAAGCATCACAATTGTATTTTCAGAATCCTGATGAAGGCTCCATAGAGAATGCCGAAAGCTTGATTTTATCGTCAAAAGAGTCAACTTAAGCCTAAAAGTTTTTTCAATTTCCCAATTAACAGTTAATTGTATTTTGTACCCAACTGGTCGTTGGCTTTGGCAATAACTACTGCCCATATATATATATATATATATATATATATATATATATATACGTACTATCCGAGTTTTATTAAAAGTCATTCACAATACTGTGTACATTTCTCATGCATAATCACTGCAGACGTTTATTCCTTAATTCTTACTATGTATTTACTTACTCAATTTGTCATTCGATGTGTGGATTCATATTTCTTTGAATTTATGTTTATACTTTATATATGAGAATTGAATGGTAATTACTGAGTAAACCTACTTGATATTTTTGGGTGCTGTTATTTTTTCTAGGAAGTGTCCATGTTTTCCTCTCTAAATGAACATTGGGGCTCATCTGGACAGTTGGACGAAAAATCCTAGATCATTCTGGTCTTCAGCAATTGAACCCCCAACTTTTCCAAAGTTGTCTACTTCATTCTGAAAAATTTTACATTCGAATAATTATTGTACTTGATTTCGAGCTCTAACAATTTAGTGGATAATTATTTGCTGACTGATTTGACAGTCATCAATCAGTAAGAAGTTTCTGTATGAACAGCGGATTAATTGTCGGTCATCTGTCTGAGCTCCCTCAGCCAACTCGTAACGTTCTCATGTACGCAATTAACACAGTCAGCGACGTGTCAGTGACAGCTAACTGCGTAAACTAGGTCATGACTTGTCACCGACTATCAGTTTGCTGACTGTCAGCAAACAGGCTGTACGAACAGTGCAGTGAAACAAATTTTATTATATGCTTTGAAGCTACGCGTCTCACATTATGAAAGTGCTCGCCTGCTTTTGAAACTTAAATAAGGCGAATTTATTTTTATGGTTTTATTGAGCCGCTGTTGGAGTAAATCAAAAACATTAGTTGCTTTCCCAAACGCCAAATCTTCTACGCGTTTGGGACTATTACGAGGCTACAAATTGAAAGTACATATAGTAGACGAGCAGTTATCAGTCTTTAGAGACATCCTTATTCTAGAGACTAGAGCAGAGTTCGCCAAACTTTTTTGTGTCGTAGACCCCTTGCCATGTTTTTCCGTGTTGGGTAGACCCCCTACTTACGTGATATTGATTTCCTGTAAATTTCTAACTGTAGTGAAGTTTAGTGTTAAAACTTAAAGTAAAAACAGATGTTAATCTATACATTTATTAATTGAATTTAAATTAAAACTACTCAAAATAAAATTTTGTATCTGTTATGTAAAATATACGTAACATTAAATAAACAGGTGTCTGACCAATAAGTGCCCGCATTGGTTATAAGTGCCCGCATTGAAAAAAAATAAGAGGGATAAAATAAAAAAAAAGTGAAAAATAATAATAAAAAAGTTATTTACTTAAAATAGTACAATAAGCGAGCTCGTTTATTAATTATAACATAAACATATGTGCTACAATAATTCCACTATTAGTTTGATTAAATTCCGCTTCTTATACGCTAAGTTATCTAAAAATAGGCAAAAAATTAACGAATTCTAGTGTGTACCTATTTTCAGAATAATTTGAAAAAAAATATATTCTATAAAGGGGGTTCTTTAAAAAAATCAAGGCGGGCACTTATTCCCAATGCGGGCATTTATTGGTCAGACACCAATAAACATAAAATAAACTATAAATAAAATAACATAAGCAATAAGTCAATATTTTTAGTGAGAAGGATGAACCTGATGCTTTAATAATAAATTATCAACATTTGGAGTCAATTTTGTAAGGGTTAATCTTAAATCTCCTCGGCTAATGATGTCCAGTCTGTTTCTTTTTTTCGTTAGGAGACTGGTAACAGCGCTGAACCCCCTTTCCACTAGGTATGACGATGGAAAGGAAATTAAAAATTTCCTCGCTATATTCCATAATACGGGATAAGTAACGGGTATGTTGTTTTGCAGCCAGAATTGCTGATATCCGTTTTTAAACTGAACCTTAAGTTCTTCGTTTGTACTTAGTTCAGTCAGTTCCTCTTGTATTATGACATTCGTTTCTTCTATGTCACCATATGGATTAATTATCCACGGTGGTATTACCATAGTCAAAATATCCTCAAACCTAGACTGAAAATCTGAATAGAGGGCAGTTAAATGTTGAACGTAAGTTGAAACGTCGTCTTCCTGGCAGCTTGTCTGTGACAAATTGGGGAACTGAGAAGATTCGCCCCGTCCAATATTTTGCTTCATTAGTTTAACTCTGGCAAGAAACGCTGATAAGATGGACTTTGTTTTAATCAAATTTAAATTGTCGCCTTGTAATTGCAAATTAACCATATTAAATTTTGTAAACAAATCTGTAAAATAGGCGATGTCTGTTTTCCTCTTCATTAAATTTTCTTTTAAAATTTTATCTTTAGTATCCAGAAATTCTAAAACAGTCTCAAAAAGTGCAAAAAATCTTGTCAAACATAAGCCTTTCGACAGCCAGCGTACTTCAGTGTGAAGGAGTAATTGATGAAGGTGTTCGTCATTTTCTTCACACAACTGCGCAAATAACTGCATATTCAACGCGTTGCTTGGGATTCGGTTTACTGCATCAATGACTAAATGACGTGATTCATGCAATCTAACACTCAAATTTTTAGCAACTAAATGTTGTCGATGGATAACGCAATGTATTGCTAACACCCCTGACACATTTTGTTTTAAATAGCTTATAAATCCACGATAACGTCCAACCATGGCAGGTGCTCCATCTGTAGCTAATGATATTATATTTGATAAAGGAATTGCTTTTTCAATGAAGTAATTCTTCAAAATATGAAATATTGATTCACCTTTAGTGTCGGTTATCAAAGTTCTTGCGAAGAGCAGTTCTTCGTAGATTTCTTGATTCATAATAAAACGAACATATGGCAATAATAATGCTGCATTATCAGGTAAACTTGACTCGTCCAGTTGTATAGAGAAATGGGTCGTTTGCAAATAATTACATAAGAAGTTTTCAATATCAGAACTCATTTCATCAATACGTCTTTCAACAGTATTGTTGCTTAAGGAAATTCTTTTAATGATATCAGATGCAGGTTTGTGTAAAACAGTTTTTAAAACCTCTTCAACAGCTGGCAAAATTAACTTATCTCCGATAGTATGCGGTTTTCCGGATTTTGCTATAAGTAACGAGATATTGTAAGACGCCCGCAAACCATCATCATTTCTTTGTGACGTCGAAGCGAACATTCTGTCCAGTGTAGGTCTCTTCTGAAATTTATCTGTGAGTGTTTGAAAGTATTTTAAATCTTTCTCTGTTCTATCAGGATGGCATCTTCTCAGATGATCTTGCAGTTTAGATGGTTTCATAGCGTCATTGCCCAAAACTTTGTTGCATAAAAGGCACATAAGCGATTGTTTGTCCGGCAATGATGGAATGAAGCCAAATTTCAAATAATCAACTCTGTACTGTCTACATTTCTTTTTAGATTCGGCATCAGTCATCTGTGGGCAAAATTAAATTATTAAAATAAGACAGAAAATCCAGCAGCTGTATCTTCTTGCAACAATTAGCTCGAATTACGGAGATTGCATTGTAATTATATTACCGATTGCTAAAACTTTCAAAAAGAAACTATTGAGGAGTACTCGTGTAATTTTGCATGATTGAATATTTAGCTACTAATAACTAAAGTCATGATTGTAAATACGAGTACAAAACTAAAACTTAATAAAAAATAATGTACTTTTCTCCAGCACTCTCAAACAAAATAACACTGACTCACTATAATGTGTGTGATATACTATCTGTTTATATTTCTTAAAATATTTTCTTAGCACTTTCCTTTTCAAGATTCAGGAAACGAATAAACGTATTTGTCCCACATTCGTATTTATAGAGTGACGAATTGAACAAGTCAGTGCAAGGTAGCGAAGCTCTGAGACTGCGACTCTCAGGTTTTTACAAGTTCAAAATGTATTGCGACCACAAAGCGAATACCAACATCCTACAACTTACACAATTTTATAAACATATATAATAAATTTTTTACTTCATACGTACTTTTATAAATAATGTATATGTTTTGATATTATAAGATAGTATGATGTAAGTAAATAGGTACTATCAGTGTATGTGTTGAGATCCACTGTCGTCGACCCCCATATTCATTTCATGGACCCCCAAATTTTTTTCGCTGACGTAGACCCCTTGCAGGTTGTCATAGACCCCTAGAGGTCGATATAGACCACTTTGGGAATCAATCGACTAGAGCAATTCCTGTAGTTCATAGTAGGTAAAGTAAAGTGACTGACACACTCTACAATGTAATTATTGGATTTAAATTTAAGTTACACTGGTTACCGATCAGTGACATGCTAAATAGTACAAAGCTACATTATTATTACCTGCTCCTGATATGGTTTTATGAAAGTTGAGGAAACAATATCAGAAGCTTATAAATCCCAAAACAGTCCTTATTTTATCATGGTTCCTTAATATCTTTTAACTATTACATTGCATTTGTATATGATAAAGCAACTATCTAGAAGTATTTTTTAGAAAAAATGAACAAAGTATAACCTTATTTGTACATGCAGCTAAAGACCACAGATGAAAAGGTTTTTTTTTAAATTTAAGAAAAAAATGAATATTTCAAAAACGGTGACACTTTTATATAGGTAAGTTTTTGTTATTTGGGAGGTCAGTCCAAAGCCTACTTTCTCCTTAAGTTTGTCGTGGTACTTATTGAAGACCCTGTAATATAAGGCTATTCATTCGACTACCGTTATGTAAATCATTAATATATATCAGGAAAAGAATCGGGACAAGAACTGAGCCCTGTGGGACTCCACTATCGACTGGTAGTTGTGAAGACACTGATCTGTGTAAATATGCAGGTTGATATCTATTGCACAAATATGATGTGAGGATTTCTTTGCTACTATTATCGAAATTGTAGTATAAAAGTTATCCAACAGAATTTGATTTTGAACACAGTCAAACGCTTTTGTTTGAGATCTAAAAACCTCACCATACAATATGAACCATTTTGCAAGGTGCAATTAATGTAATCAAACAAAGCATAAATATCTGATGTTGATCTATGGACATCTGAAGCCAAACTGACACTTAGTAAATAGATTATTTGATTAAAAAAAATTCATTTATTTGGCCTTGTAACAGCATCTCAAAGATCTTGCCAACAACTAGTACCAGGAAGATTGGTCTGTAACGGGACACATCATTAGCGTCACCGCTTTTAAAAAGGGGAATAACTTTCTACGCATATATGCAGAATAACCAGCTGAAAAGGACCTGTTTTTTTTTCGTCTCCTGTAACCATGATAAACTGCAGACAGCAGCGCTATTTCGTGTTCACTAGCAGCTCATCAGTGCGGTATATGCCTTAAGTCTAGTGGAGACAGACGAAGCGGAAAGAAAATACTTGACGCGTTGGCCGTGATGGAGTGGTACGCCATATCTGCGTCTATCGTAGAACGTCGAGCGATATGAGCCCGAGAGCGTAAGTGTCTCTCTATCGTTTTCATCGATGATGAAAACTAGCTTGGCAAAACCACTGATAGATGGTGATTGTCAGATTGCCATCTACTTGCGCACAACGAGAGCAGTGGATGTCAAGGGTTGAAATAGTCACAGCAGTAATATTGCAATTAAATTGTAAAATTGTAATAATAAATGCATGCACTACGTAATATTCAAATCGATTGCAAATATGTACAGTTTGATGGCAGCGCATTAAGTTTTGATAGATAACTTGCATTTTTTATGTGTTATACCATAAACGATTCAACGATGGGCCCACCAATGGCATCGAAGCCCATCAAAACTGTTCTTTTATTCATCGCTGGATTCCATCAGGGCGTTCTTTTATTCCTACTGGAACTAGTTGTGATGCTATGGACGTCCACCGGCAATTTATGCTGGTGGAGGGATTGACAGAACATTGACAGGTGTAAATTGGCGCCGAAAAGTACAATATAAATTTTTTGACGAAACATGCAGACTTGTTAATAAAATTTCGTCCTCGTCTGATCACAAATTTATCGTCCCCTGTAAAAACGATGGTCAGAACCAAACCGACTGCTTGCTTCTTAAGCGACATAGCAAATATTGTCTTTTATTGCCCAAAAGTTTGAAAGTTGTACCTATCAAATAAAGTCAAGTTGACTTGCTGAAACTTAAACAAAGGGAAATCGTAGACATGTCCGCAATAAATGAACAGGAGTATAAATACAAGAATTGTCCCTTGTTTACCACCTAAGTATCAGTCAAACTATTTGCATTATTTGTATTTACTCATGGGTTTGAAGTACCACCGTAGGTAGCTGGGCTCCGTGGTCACGTTAGTTAATACCTCATAAATACGAGGTCTGCAGACCGAAACTACAAATGTGCCTGGTGGCTCTTGTTGATGGCTTTTAGTTGCATTTCCTTTTCCATCCTTGTTTTCTTCAGGTTACACCCGTGTCCAGATGTGATGGGAATATGTTTTTACTTCGGTGTTTTCGATGCACATCCATTTGGGCCTGATGAAACCAAAAAGCAGCCCTCGCTCGCGTTACCAATTCGCCTATTTCTGCTCTTGTTCCTTTATTGCATACATGTTCGCGACTGTCGTTTGTTTTCTTGCCTAACAAGTACCGATTGAAGTTGCAAATGCAACATTTACAAGTGCAATATAGATCAGGAGCCGTAATCGAAAGCAAGGCGATAACAAAAAGTCAAGAATGCGTTCTTTTATTTCTCCACCGATGTCAACGCATTAGATGGCGTCATCCCCAGCAGAGCTCCCCACTGATGATTCCATCAGCTTTTTCCGCTGAAAAAAAATAAAGCGCCCAATAACCTTTTCAACTCTAAGCAGAAGTGTTTTTTACACTTTTCAGATTTCCAGAAGCAAGGGCAATAAAAAATTTCTCTTAATTTATATATTTCTGAATAACGGCAACAAACTGGGCGGTATATAATAATATAGTATCTGGCGTAAGTGTGGTGGAATACTTTCGATTTTTGTAAAGAAATTATCGCTTATGGTGGATTAGTTAGAATCGCCTTCATCAGTTGACGCTGCCGTAGATGATTCTGAAAAGTATTCAAGGGAATAGAATGCAGCGAACTAATAATTTGTGATATGACTACAAGACTACAAGGCGTACGGTGGCAACATCCAAAGTTTAATGAGAATGAATAGTTTCAACCTTTAAAGATAATCAGAGTTGATGAATCGTAAATAATGCAAAAAACAAAGCCTGTGTTGCTATGAACTACCTCACATTTGTGAAAGGTATGGTAAGGAGGATCTGTCTCCGAATTTGGCTTCAAAGACTGAAGTAATTGATTCTCAATAGACAGTTTCACGTGTCGCGACTTTAGAGTGTTGCTGCAATAAGATATGTGGCTTGTCAGAATGCAAAGTACTTGTTCAGCTTAATGCTTCACGAAATAAAATGATCCAAATCTTGAATGTACAAAATCAAAATTATTTTTTCATTTTGTTTATTGGCGTCAATGATTCGACTTTCAACATCGCACCCACATAGTTCACCTCTCCCCAATCATCAGCATTATTGACCCAAGGGCTACGAGGATGCTAGCAAACAGAAATACTGACGTAAATAAGGAAAAAACATGCAAAAGTATGTAGGTAAAGTAACATCTATTTCAATCTAAGACAATTTTGTTTTCTGCATTATGGGTAGGCTGATCAAAAGCTGCAATTCTTTTTTGTACTGCTGCAAAGTTTACATGAAAATTGAAAAATACTCTAACTTCTCCCCATTTAATTTATATAGTGTTACTGGAAATTCGCAGTATTCCTTCCACGGTGTGATGAGAGACTTAAAATGCAACAAGCCGACATGTGTATGGTCTAAAAACAATAATCATAATAATTTGGGGATATGAAGTCTAAAGAGTAAAAAAAATTAAGTAAGAAACGGGTGAGAATTTAACTGATTTCCGTATTTCATATTGAAATTAAGCTAATATAACCATGAATGGCACAGAAGTGGTACAAAATTTCTACACACAATGGAGTAACAGCTATTCGAATAATTGTCGTTTTCACTTTTCTCTGTGAAAAAATTTTTGTCTAGCTGTAAAAATTTCTTTTACAATGAGCGTACAAACTGCTAGAAAAGCTTGCTTGTACAATCAGCTTGCCAAAATTTTATTTAGGTCAAATAATAATCTTCATACCAACTGTTCAATAATCATTCAACTGAATGTATTGATTTTTTAAACATCATATTCAACACGATATTCTTAGTTGCGAATAGAGGTCTGCATTAACTTTGTGCCTCCCGATTCAGTTCTGTAGTAAAAAGGGCCTCATTTGTTTTACTTT